ATATCTACTTTCGTAGTTCAAAGCTGCCTTACCTAGCTTCACTCACAATTCAGGTGGCTAACAGCTCGAATCATTGTTGCCTGAAAAATCTTTCTGCATGCAAACTAAGACTATGTTGCTAAGCAAAAGCCACTTGGTAAATAAATCACCAGTGATACTCGAATAAGCAAATACTCCCAACAAGAATAAAAGATAAAGGAATGAGCCCTTAGTAACATTACAGTGGTATCAAGAAACATTTTGGTAATGACAATTCGTTTTTATAAGAGATTACGGCCCACCTTGCCATAGCTGCCACGGCCAATGGTTTCGCCAAGTAAATACCGCCCGGCGATTACTTTCGGCGGTTTTCTACGCTGTCCAGAAAAGGCTGCAAAGCATACTTGCTGTTGTTGTTGAGGATGATGTTGATACTGGTGCTGGAATTCCATGTCGCCACTAGCGGCGCCCAAGTGGCGCCTATCGACCAAGTTTGGATTGAAGGTCACCGGAAGACCATCCAGAAATTCATCACATGCACCTGTACTAATACAAAATGAGCTCGGCAGAGGAGCTAGACCGCCGGATGACGGTAGTGAACAAGCAAGGACTGGCCGCATGCGAGGAGATGCAGAGTGTGAAGGCAGAGGCAGCGAACTGCCAGGTAAACGAGGTGATTGACCTCGACTGACTGGAAAGGGTGAAGGCGAGACATGGCTAAAGGAACGGGGAGAGTCAGGTTGGTCGAATGCATTGAGGCCCGCCTCGGAAAGATAAAGTCCACTTAGTCCTTTCGATAACTGAGTGTCATTCTGAACGATAAAACAATGTAGGTGGAAACAAGGGAGACGATTATAATAAATTAAAAAATTTATAGGATCTAGAAAAATATGAATTTCACTGTTCAAAAATTGTGTAAACATAAGAATGAAATACAATAACTATTGATATAAAACACTTATTCATGTCTACTATGAAATAAAAAATTAATAAAAATTTCTTGACCTATCGTAATAATGTGCTGACAGGTTATAAAGACATTAATATACAGTACACTATGCTCTTGACAGAGCAATTTTGATCAACATTATAAATAAAAAGAATTTTATAATTTAATAACTACTTTTCTGATAAGATATAGACATTTAAGAACCCGATAAGTAGGCAGCTTAAAATAAAATAAATATATTCGTACAATAAGCCACAAATATTTGTCGGTAAAAACAAATCTTTGTCACTTTTATTTATCTATTATACATTATGAATGTCAATACGAAATAAGTCTAATTTAGATTGACTGACACTTTCGATAATTACTTGCTTAATCTACCCGTAAAATATTTTATATCGAACTGATGATTACCCGCCAATAAATAAATAACGGTAAAGAAATGCCATTTAGCAGAGTAATTCATGCTGAAATTAGGCTTCAATGAAAGATAGCATTGAGAAGTAAATTCATTCTGATTAATAAGTGAATAATTTCGAAACGTACTTAAAGGCTTCTGTCTGCTTCTTTTCAATATTAAATGCAATAATGAAATTAATTGTCGTAAAAGGAAGGCATAGCAATTAAGGGGATAAGCATATAATACTAAAAAGGTAAGTTCCAGAAGTATACATTTTTCAAACGAAAAAAATTTAAAATCTAGGCATTGTGGCCAAGCATCCAAAGAAAGATTTTAAACCCTACACTAGATGCCATAAACGAAGAAATAGAGAAACGGAAATCGAATGTAATAAAATGAAAGAGATTACCGATATTTCGATTATTAAAACGGGAAAATAGACAAGAATTTTCTCTGGCCAAAAGAAAGTAAAAACATACATTCTATGATCACACTATTAATTTTTGATTGTCTAATCAAAGACCAGAGCTCATAAATGATCCATAAGTTCGAATGGAATTCATTAAGTAGTAGGATGCCCAAAATTTTAAAATGTCAGCTTACGAATCATTTCAATCAAACTTTTCATTGTAAATTAAGCGTTTACTGAAGTTGAGAGTACTTTATTGTTGAGTAGATTGCAGGCGTTTGGAATGAAGCAATCCTCAGATAAACATTTTCTGAACCTGAATAATATGCCAGTCTTTTGCCTTCTATGCTATTTTAGGGACAAGAAACTATTGTTTAATAAATTTCAAAGGCTTAGACAAGAAAAATTATTAGTTTCGATAGCAAAATCATTTGATAACTAAGAGACTACATTAATTACAAAATTTGTATAGTCAATGAAAGGTAAACAATGATTTTTATCGAAGTGTCTTCAATTAAGTCTTGAGTCATCGGAGTCGGAAGACAATTCAGGTAAAGGCGCTAGGTTCGAACCGACGATTACTCAAGATGACCAGAGACAGACGCAAAATCTGAGCGCACAAATGCCTTAAGATAAATTAAAGTTAATGGGTACTTACATCCTAATGGAGTATACCGATTACATTGACGCGGTAAAATTTCTTTTACAATATACTTCAAAGCATAGAAATTATTTTACAATCAATATTCGTCATTAATTACCTTATGCGACTTAAAGTCTTTAGAACGGGTAGTCAAGATCTACTGATACTTTCGAAAATATTAATAAGTCAAGCTTGAAATCAACCTTCCTTAGGGCATTTTGGAACATTTAGCCTACCAATAGCATTCCTTAAATAATATACACAAGCAACTCCCCTAGGCCGCATCAAGGAATCTCCCAATCTTCCAGGTATGACTTTTCATTTTGAAAAAAAATTGGTTGGAAGGGATTCATGAATTGACCTCAAAAGGAACCGGAGGGTGAGGACTCTTGGATTATGTAATGAATCGGAGCGGTAAGTTAAGCAGATAACTTGTTAAAAAAACAAATATTTAGATATGAAGAGAAACTGGGTTTCGATGAATCTATTGAGATAATATTGTTAAAGGGACTTTCAGCTCGTATGAAAGTGAATGATAAAGATATTCGTTGGTCGATCTCACCAGATGAGGACGGATGAATCTTGTTGTACTGCAGCCGTTTAGTTTTTATATGATATTCATGTTGACGTAGTCTACGAGACTTCCTCCCTCGTTTCGGGTGAAAACGTGCTGAGCTTTCGTCCATCATATGATGGACATAATCAGAGCTGGGTATCATTCTTGTAAGAGTCTCACATTAACACTAGGCCAAGAAAACTATCCGGCTCTATCTTACTTCTTATAGACTCAATTGAGCAAAATGAAAATTAAAAACCTAGATAGTTCGATATAGAGTGGTTTGGTTAATTTTCTTTCATACTGGTCCTGTTATTTTTGCTCGATTGTATGAGTATGTGTATTTGTGCGTGTTAATGTCTATATGCAATATGGTTCCTAAATCAAAGGTGTCAAAGTTTTGATCTCAGGTTCTGATCCTCAAGACCTAATGACCCAAGAAAAAATCTTGACTGAGACTGCGTAGGTT